CAAAATGGAGTTGAGTGGTTTCTTTCTTGGTTATTAAGTGAAGCAGCCCTGACAGATAGTCTTTGGGAGTTGATGGTAAGAGGAATTGATATAATATTGAATAATACAAAATAGCGTTGGTTATGATGTAATGGTACACATTTGATTATTGGTATAAAAATAAAAATAATAATAAAAAACTGATTAAAAAGAAAAAAGACATCTTTGGGACACCCTATCTGTAGTTTCCTGTCATGCTTCCATGGAGCTATGGATAGGCACACATTGTAACAATTCATTTCATCTCTTGAATTCAGACATGTCAGTGAAAGAATCCTGATCATCATAATCCTGATCAACAAAGTTTTTCACCTGGAGGTTGAACTCTCATCCTCCAATGTTCATTTCCTAAGGTATCCCAGTAGAAAGGGCCAGAACTACTGCAAAACAATTCCCCCAGAGGCAAATCTGCGACTTTACACAAGCATCCTATTCTCCATCCCTCCCTCTGAACATGGAGACCTGGAAGGACTCAAGGGTCCCCAGAGGAGATGTGGCTTCTCACTATAATTATTACCATCCCAGTCTTTGGGATGTCTTCTGCTGCTTCTCCAACCGTTGCCTTTCATGTAATAATCAGACTAAAGCAACTTGGAAGATCTCTTGCATCAGCCTCTAGTCATCCTGAGTCTTATGCACAACATTTAGGGCATGCAAACACTGCCCTGTTGAATGTATCTTCCAATATTTTCCATGTGAAACTTGGTTTGTCTCTGTCTGAATCAGGAAAATCATTTGCTTTTCCATTTTGCTTTGAATTCTTCTTTTCTTACGGTTTAGAAACAGAAGTGGCTGATTCAACCAAAGGAAGAATGAACCTCCTGCTTCTGCTTCTGATGCTTTGGCTGACCCAAAGAAATTTGGGGAGGCTCACAGCTAAATGCCCCCCGATTTTGAAGGAGCAGGACACAGGAAAGCCATGGAACTACTACAGGCCAGGAGACCATATCATCACTGTGTTTGAAACAGCAACAAATCCTTCTCTTG